ACTGTACAGTCCTCACCTCCCATCTCAGACCAGTTTGTCCGGGCAGGTATTGCAGCAGTCAGTTTTTTATCTGATGTGGTAAACTATAAGATACCTATGTTAGATGGAAGCGAAGTGCTTAGCTCATCCAACAACTGTGTGGTGGATCGTACAAAGCCTGTATCCAATGTGAGACCATCAAATATAAAGACCTCCAGAAATGACAAACTTCAAGGAAAAGCTTCTACTGATACACCTGTAACGTCAACCCTTGCACATAATTCGAATTACACAAAAAACAAAGGTGATAAATGTAATTCGGTCAGAGGCAGGAATCCTGTTTCGAACAATGGTGTTGGGGAAGTGGAGACCCATGGTGTTATCCCAGATTCTTGTGACCGGAGGAGGACAATGCCTGCAAAGCCCAGAACATATCCAAATCGTAACATGACAAATGTGCGTGGCTCTGAAGGAAAGCTTAAGCATGAGATTCCTGAAGGTTTCAGCAGGCCACAACGAGCAACAAAGTTGCAAAATGCAGGAGTAATGGTCAGACAGTTCTCTAATAGTAGTCATGTTGTTGGAACAGTTTCTCGCATTATACAACAGTTAAATTGGAGTCCTGAGACGGAAAATGCTCTTCGTGAACTCAACTATTTATTAGATCCATACCAAGCAAACCAAGTTCTTAAGCAGATCCATGATCATGCAGTTGCTCTTGGCTTTTTCTACTGGTTGAAGCAGCAACCAGGATTTAAACATGACGGACACACCTATACCACCATGGTTGGCATCCTGGGACGTGCTAGGCAGTTTGGGGCAATTAACAAGTTGCTTGAGCAGATGGTCAAAGATGGGTGCCAACCAAATGTAGTGACATATAACCGTCTCATTCACAGTTACGGCAGAGCAAACTACTTGCGTGAAGCATTACATGTCTTTAGTCAAATGCAGGAAGCTAGAGTTGAACCTGACCGTGTAACCTATTGTACTCTAATTGACATCCATGCAAAAGCTGGTTACCTTGATGTTGCCATGGACTTGTATGAAAGGATGCAAGATGCTGGGCTCTCTCCAGACACTTTCACTTACAGTGTCATTATTAATTGCCTTGGAAAAGCAGGCCACTTAGCTGCTGCGCACAAACTGTTCTGTGAGATGGTTCATCAGGGCTGTGTACCAAACTTGGTAACCTACAACATTATGATTGCATTGCATGCAAAAGCAAGGAACTATTCTAGTGCATTACAATTATATCGAGACATGCAGAATGCTGGATTTGAGCCAGACAAGGTGACATACAGCATTGTGATGGAGGTGCTTGGCCATTGTGGCTATCTGGAGGAAGCTGAGGCAGTTTTTACAGAGATGAAAAGGAAGAATTGGGTACCTGATGAACCTGTATATGGTCTTCTAGTGGACTTATGGGGAAAGGCTGGGAATGTAGAAAAGGCTTGGAACTGGTATCATGCGATGATTAATGCAGGTTTATGCCCCAATGTGCCTACTTGCAATTCTCTGCTCAGTGCTTTCCTTAGAGTTCACCGGTTGCCTGATGCGTACAACTTGCTTCAAAGCATGCTTGAATTGGGTCTAAACCCTTCTCTGCAAACTTATACCTTGCTCCTCAGTTGCTGCACAGAAGCTCAAACATCATTTGACATGTCATTTTGTTGTGAGCTGATGGCAGTCACACGTCACCCAGCACACACATTCCTTCTGACCATGCCAGCAGCAGGACCCGATGGGCAAAATGTGAGGGATCATGTGGGCACCTTTTTGGATCTGATGCATAGTGAGGACAGAGAGAGTAAAAGGGGTCTTGTTGATTCAGTTGTTGATTTTCTGCACAAATCAGGACTCAAGGAGGAAGCTGGATCTGTCTGGGAGGTGGCAGCGGACAAGAATGTCTACCCTGATGCAGTTAGAGAGAAAAGCTCCTCATATTGGCTTATAAACCTCCATGTAATGTCAGATGGAACTGCAATCATCGCACTGTCAAGAACACTTGCCTGGTTCCGCCGACAGATGCTTATCTCGGGAATCCGTCCAAGCCGCATTGATATTGTGACAGGATGGGGCCGTAGGAGTCGTGTGACTGGATCCTCTATGGTGAGGCAAGCAGTACAGGAGTTGCTTAACATGTTCGGCTTCCCATTTCTTGCTCAGAATGGGAATTCAGGGTGCTTTGTGGGCTGTGGGGAGCCTCTCAGTAGATGGTTGGTCCAGCCTTATGTCGAGAGGATGCATTTGCTTTAGTGTTTGGTATCAAGAATTTCTAGCATAAATCACAATTTTGTCATTGAATAGGAACTGGCTTCCTCAGGAATTAGAATGTACTTATTTATGTGCAGCTCATATGGATTTCAGTTAGTTATCCTAATTATGTTTTTTCTTACTAATCTCATTTCCGGATTCTATTTGTTTGAGTCTGACCTGAAATTAGGAGTAAGATCGTGTCTCCTGCTTAGCAATGCTATTTTCCCCATTCTGTTTCATAGTTGATCACATTATTGACTATTGGACGTGGTACTTCTGATCAACCAAAAGAAGGAAGTAGCCCCTGCTTTCTGTATTACGTACCATTGACAGGTGCTCCACTTCAGCTTCGGTATTTTCCATCAGTTGTATTCTGTTCTGCTTTACTTGTCCCAACTCTCAAGGCTGCATGATCTTTTAGAAGAATTCTGTTCATGTTGTATTGTGTAAGGCACTTAGTTGATGCAGCTTGTGTCATCCGAAGCCTTTACTAGGCCATTGTGATTGATTTCCATTGCTTATTTTAGTACTCCCTCCATTCATTGTCTTGTAGTCTAATTGAAGCTTAGTTAAGAGTAGTTTTTACTAGGCTTACTCCACTTCATGACTCCCTTGGTGCTCACTGAGAATGAAAAACAACTTTTTTTTAATGGCAAATTCAGATTCTATAGTGAGTTCAGAATGATCATTAGTTTGATTATTAGTATACGTTTAAAATGTAACTTTAGTGAGTTGAAAATACCAGTATGAGATCAATAAAAGTGAAATTGAGGAATTACAGGACAGACAACCAAATCAGCTTTGATGAATGTTATGGACAAGGCATAATTCCTAGAATATTCTGCATGTCTGCGAAGTATTATTACTACCAATTCCGTTGTCAGATGAATTTTGGTGTTTTTTTCTAATTGGACAAAAGGTCGACCAAAGTCGGAAAAACAACTACTAGTAAATTTCCTATTTTTGCGTCATTGCTGAAAGATGCAAACATATATTTCAATCGATGATATAAGAAAGTAAAAACAAAATTGTATTTTAACAGAAAAAACTAGTCCCTAATTTATTAGACTTTTGTCAATTAATCACAAGTAAGGGGTTCGGTCAGTTATTTTTTAAAAGTTATATCGTCCTAATTTTTTCGGGTATTTTATAATATGTCAAAATTAGATTTTTTAAAATCATTTCAATCATATCGGTTTCTCTTTCGTATCGGTATGGTTCGGTTAATTTTCATTTTTTTACTTTTAAAATATCATCTCAAAATATACTACTATTAAAATACTTCTTTCACAAATATGTTCTTCAAGTAACACTTTAATTCTTCACCAAGAAGACAAGAACAATGTATATATACAAATACAAATACAAAATTGTATAAAGCGAGAGAAAAGTGTATATATACAAATACAAATACATATATTTTCGCCCTATACACTTATAATTATACAAATACATATATTTTCGCCCTATACACTTATAATTATACAAATACATATATTTTCGCCCTATACACTTATAATTATATAAATACAGATCTTATTATACAAATTACAATGTATAAATGAATTTATACAAAACTGAACAATTTGTATAAAATTGGATGTATCTAGCGAATTATACAAATCAAAAGCTCCATAGCTAACATAAATTTTGCTATGAAGCACAATTATGCAAACTATAGCTATAACATATAAATATGATTTTTATATTTGCTATATGTGAAAGTTGTTCATTAAAAAGACCATCCCAACCGTTCGGGACGGTTATACACTTAAATAAAAGTCCACGATTTTATTGAAAAAATAACATAAATCAATTTGAACGGTTTTTCATATTCTTTTGACATCCCTAATCATAAGTAATTTAATTTTTAATTTTTTTTATGTCTATTATCTCACGCATTAAAACCCGACTAATTTAAATTTGTAAATTACCTAACTCATTTCGAATGCTCTTAACATGATTTTTTGGTATAGTTTCCCATAAAATAAATAATTTATAGTAATCATAGCCTGTAAAATTTTTACATCTACATTAAGCCAACACATGTTCACGCTAAAATTCATGAAGCTAAACCTCTTTCACTGTTTTTTTTTTTTAAAAAAACTTCTTTCCTCAACTTCGGTAGAATCCTCTTCATTTTTTATTTTAAAAAATTTGTATGATGTATATCCATCACATATACACCTTCATATGTATTTTTTAAAAAATTATTTATAAGTAAACAAGGAGATGAACACAATATCCATCAGTTATATCAAAAGTAGTATACATTGTATAGTACTAAATATAAGCAGTGTATAATTATGTTTAAACAATATATTTAACATTATTTTTAGAGAATTTGAGACCAAAAAAAGAAGGATTATATAAAAACCTTAAGAATCTCATTAATTTTAAAGCTTCTTACGTAATTTCAGATCAACATATTTTGTTGCTTAGAAAGTTCATGTTCAAACTCACCTTTTATTTATATGTATGTAAGTTAAAAATGTGAAGTAAGTTATAATTGAAGAGGTTAATAAAGAATGAATATATATTATGTAGATAAATAAAGGAAATAAGGCAAATGTAGAGTATTTAAATAATTAATTAGATGACCAAATAGATATCTCTTAATTAATTTTCTCATTATTCCTACTCATTTTCATTAGTCAAAGAGTTGTGATTGCCATAATCCACGCTGGCAAGTACTAATAAATAACAAAATCTCCATTTTCTCCTCATGCCAAGAAAGACTGAAAAGTTGCTGATTAGTCAGGACACAACTTTCCAGTTCTCTCCCCTCACGCTGCTAAAATCCCCTCTTCTTCCCCCTTTTTGTTCGTTAGTACTTAGTAGTATAGAGAAACAGAGATACTCTCTGACTCTGTACTTCATCGCCGGTAGATAGCTAATTCTCATTCCGATTCCGACGTTTTGTGCTTCACCAGTAAGTTTCTGTTATCGCTTTCTGTTTTGTATACATATACATTTACATATATATATATATATATATCTGTTCAATTTGACATAGAATTTCTGTATAGATAGATAGATATATATGCCTTGTTATACTTGTTTAGGCGCATGAGATACATTTATGCATACGATTGAATTGTTATAGAATACATTGATGGTGCACAAGAAGCGGACAGTCGCTCCTCGTCCCAAACAGTCCGCTGTCACCGAAGATGCGGCGATTCCGTTGCTTGAATCGGAACAAAACCTAGTTTCAGTGTGTACATCAGTTCAGAAGAAACTTTCGAGAAAAAATGACACTTCGGCTGTTGTTGAAGGTGAAACGAATGCCTTATCAGCTTCAATAAAGCTTGGATGTGAGCGTGTCCTATCATCCCTGCGCAGGGGGAACCATACCAAAGCCCTAAGATTTATAAAGGAATTGGCAAGCAAGCATGAAAACTCGCCTCATGCACCTCTTATTCATCGTGTCCAGGGCTCTGTTTGTGCTAAAATGGCCTCCATGATTGATGATCCCAATGCTAAACATAGACATTTGAAGAATGCCATTGAGAGTGCCAGGAAAGCTGTATCACTGTCTCCAAATTCGATTGAGTTTGCACATTTCTATGCTAGTTTGTTGTATGAGGCTGCAAATGAGGGGAAGGAATATGAGGAAGTTGTGCAGGAGTGTGAAAAGGCATTGGCAATTGAGAACCCCATAGATCCTGCAAAACAGAACTTACAGGAGGAAAGTCAACAGAAGGATGAGACTCCTAATGCTCGGATTGACCATGTACGGATTGAACTCCAAAGTTTAATTCAGAAGTCGAACTTTGCATCCATTTCTGCTTGGGTGAATCAAATAGGCAATGGTGAGGAAAAAATCCGGTTGATCCCGATTAGGAGGGTGCCAGAGGAGATGAGGTTGGTTCAAGCAAGAAGGCCAATTGAGATTAAAAAGGTGACTAAGATGCCTGAAGAGAGGAGGAAGGAGATTGAGGTCCGAGTGGCTGCTGCAAGGCTGTTGCAAAAGAAGTCTGAAACAGTCCAAACGCACAAAGATGGAGATAAAGCTCTGGATCTGACAACAGGATCAGCGCAGAGAATTGGTGAGAGGAGGAAAAGCAGAAATGCAAGGAAAAACTCGTCTTCCACAGAGAGAAGGGATAGGGTGCAGTCTTATTGGAACTCCTTGACTTTGGATAAGAAGAAAGAGTTGCTTAGAATTAAAATTTCAGATCTTAAGGCTTATTTAAGTGCGTCAAAAGACGGATTGGCTATTGAAGTGCTATCTGAGGCTCTATCATTATATGAAACCAATAAAGATTGGAAGTTTTGGACATGTTATCGCTGCAACGAAAAATTTACTGACTCTGTATCACACAACTATCATGTTGTGCATGAGCACATTGGAACTTTGCATCCTAAATTGCAGTCCGTATTGCCTCAGAATGTGGAGAACGAGTGGGCTGAGATGCTTCTGAACTGTTCCTGGGAACCCTTAGATGGTTGTGCGGCTGCGAAGATGCTTGATAAACAATCAAGATCTCAAGAACAGGGTTTTCTTGATGAAAAGCACCAAAGAGATAACACAGAAGAGTCTAAGTATGGCTTTTCTGAGGTTTTCTGCAATGAAGACAAATTGGATTCATCACCTAGAAATAAGAAATTTGGGGATATACCTAACAGTGATACAGTTGAAAGCAGAGTACATGATAAGATCTCAGACATTGAGTTGATGGATTGTGATAGGAATTATGGTACTAAGAATGGTTTCCTTCCTGACAAGTGGCCACTATCTGATGATCCCGACCGAGCAAATCTTCTTGAAAGAATTTCTGCTGTATTCCAGACGCTTATTGAAAGTAAATATCTTGCTTCAAGTCACCTCAGCAAGGTTATTGATTTTGCAGTGGAAGAGCTTCAGGGTCTTACTTTTGGCTCTCAGCTTCTTAGCTACAATGTTGATCAAACTCCCTTATGTATATGCTTTCTAGGTGCCGAGGAACTAAAAAATGTGCTAAAGTTTCTGCAAGATCTTTCGTATTCTTGTGGCTTAGGTAGGTATTCCGAGAAAACTAGTTCTCGAGATGGAGCAAACAATGCTAGTCAAGGATTTGACGATCTGGAGAAATTAATTGTCAGTGAAGATGGTTCATGTTTATTGTTTGATGAACGTTTCCTGCCGTGCAATCTTGCTCGAAGCACATGTCCAGATATAATTTCTATTGACAGAACTGCATATGTTTTGTCTAGTAATCAGTACCAGAATGAGGCTGAACTTGATCCAGAGGCATTTTTGTCCTGGATATTCACTGATCCATCAAGTGTAGAACAATTGGCATCCTGGACATGTGCAAGAGAAGAGAAAGCACAACAAGATATAGAAATTTTTCGTTTTCTTGAGCTTGAGAAGGAGTTTTATGACCTGCAATGTTTATGTGAGAGAAAAATTGAACATTTAAATTATGAGGAAGCACTGCTGGCAATTGAAGTAATTTGTTTAAAAGGGGGTAGGAGAAGAGATCATGGAACTGAAATTGTTGGACGAAGTTATGATTCTCTTTTGCGAAAGCGGCGAGAAGATCTCATAGAAAGTGACAATGATGTTACAGTTATCGGCAATAGGCTTGAGTTGAATGCTATATCAAATGTTCTGAAGGAAGCAGAGTCTCTCAATGCCAATCGGTTTGGTTTTGAGGAAACTTATAGTGGTGGAACATCTCAACTATGTGACATCGAATCAAGTAAAGAGGATGACTGGAGACTGAAGGACTACCTTCATCAAGTGGACTCTTGTGTGGAAGTTGCACTACAGAGACAGAAGGAACGTGTCTCCATTGAGGTTGGTGCATCAGCTATGGTTTAATGCTGTATTATTATTATTTTCTGTTTTTGGTTTAATCGTTTCCTTCTCTACAATTTCTTGAATTCAGCTGAGTAAAGTAGATGCTCGAATCATGCGAGTGGTTGCTGGGATGCAGCAGCTGAGAGTAGAGATTGAGCATGCATGTGCCCAGGATCACCGGAGGATTTTAGTGACTCTGTTGAAATCATATATCCGGGTGCCTACTTAGCATCTACTTTTATGATAGTTCAATTATTGCTTCTGGGATCTTTTACTGCTATTTCTCTCTTCCATCATACTACCATTTACCTCTATTGTACTATTCTTTTATGATGATGATTGTCTTTTCTTTCTTTAGGCACATCTGGAGGATCTGGCTGAGAAGGATGCTACCAAGAAGTCTGATGCTGCCAGTGAAGCACTTTTGGCTGAACTTGCTCATGATTCCAAGAATAGTTCTGGTGGAGGCAATGGTTGTTCTAAGCATACACATGAGAAAATTAAAGATAAGAAAAAAAGCAAAGAGTATCGGAAAGCCAAGGGTTCAAAGGTTAGACTTTTTCTGCTGCAAATGTTAGTGTTTTTGAGTTGGGAAGTAATCAGTTCACTCTTATTTGCAGCCGACTAGTGGCAGCAACGAACTGCATTTGCATCGACATCAGACTATGGAAGATGTGTACGTCTTTTCCCAAAGAAATGCTTTCTCCATAAGCTTGAAACTCCATGTTATGTAGAAGTCATGACTATCTTTAATATCAGCAAATAACTTTGCTGTTGCAGTTCATTTGCAGTTACTCATGATGGAGAGAATCAAGGTGATAAAACTGCTGGAAATGGTGATTCCTTGAATGAACAGGAGTATAGACGTACTATTGAACTCGAAGCTGAGGAAAGAAAGCTTGAAGAAACTTTGGAATATCAAAGACAAATGGAGAATGACGCTAAACTGAAGCATCTGGCCGAGCAAACTAAGAGAACTGCAAAAACATGTTTAGGGAGTATTGATACAGTTATGAAGTCTGAAACTTGCTCAAAGTGCAGTGATGAGCAATTGAAGATTAGTAAGAAGGTCAATACTCTTATGCTTGGATTCTCCTATTTTTGTGAGAGTTTTCCCATTCTATTCTGTACAAGGGACGTCAATAAATGTTGATGGTGTTACTTTTGAATGATATGCTTCTCTAAATTTTAGACTGAACTAGTCAATTGTAAACATATCTCATGCAAATTTTGGAATGCTTAATGTAGATGAACAAATTTCCGGACAGTTCACGAAGTCTTTCAAAAATCAATGCTGAAGGAATGACACACAAAACTGGTATGGCCTTTGTTTCAATGTCAGGAAGATTTTTTGCTAGCTAAATAAATCCCTTGGCGATACAGTGCCAGTGACTATCTCACCTGATTATGTACTCTACCATTGCTCTTATTCATGACTGTCAAATGAAGTAAGTGTGGATGAGAGTGGTCTGGTATCTACTCAACGCTCTGGAAGGAGAGGATGCCAGCACGATTCTAAGCTTATTGATGGGAATTTTCCATCTGCTTCTGATGAAAAGGAAAACACTGAAGTTGGTGAACCAAGAGCTCTGCATTCTTCACATGGTGAGTTGCAATTGTTTGCTTAACTATTCTGTAGTGCCTTGATTTGCTGGCCCTGAAGAAATACCAACATTTTCTAATTTATATTCTTTTTGGCCTTATTTTATTATGTATACTGTATTTTTTTGCGAATTTTTCGTGTGAATATTTGTCTCACCTGCTATCTTGGGCAGAAGCTGGTGGATTCCTAACGAGCAATATATCCATGTCTAGTAGTAGTGTTTTCTCTATGAGACAACCAGATCCAAGCCCTGAGGAAGGAGGAACCAAATGATAAAAGTTGAAATACACGTTATATTTCAGGAGCATGCTTATTTCAATTTAGTTGGAGTATATTGGCTAGTTATTAACAGTTGTATGGATGTCTAAAGCTGGCACTTGCTAGTTGATCTGAAGAGCTCAAAGCTTAGTGTTGCTTTCGTTTTGATAACCGTATATTTGTATTTGCATCTTTGAGACAAAGAAATTACCATCAAGTTAGTCCTCGATGAACCTTGTCTCTTTCCATTTTGTCAGAGGTTTAGAGGAGCAATTCGTTTTTCTTTCACTGTTATCACAGTGAAGCTTTGGTATTGCGTAGTTATATCTTCAAGCTGGCATGTTTATATATCTAAACAGTGGGACAAAGTTTGATCCAATTGTATCTGCTATTGGCAAAAGAAAATTGTGGAGTTACGAGTCAATTTGGAGCCAATTAAAGATTAGATCCTATTCCCTTTTACTTCCTCCACCTTTACCCAAGAAATGAAAAGCCAAGCTGCTGGGCAACGATAGCTGCTTTTCCTTATCCTTGTAGTTTTGTTATTTATGTTACCTTGTGAATTCTGTTTATAAACAATCAAATACGATGCCTTCTCTGAGTTGATCTACCTTTGATATCAATACTAGGAAATAGTGTTCCAGCAGATAGTGGAACAAAGACATTGAGACAGCTACATGTGGAGGATGATGATGAAGAGAGGTTCCAAGCTGACCTTCAGAAGGCTGTTCGGCAAAGCCTTGGTATGCACATTTATCTTTCTTTTCCTGTCACTGACTCTCCTAAAGTGCTTATTAGTTTAGGCGGTTCTGTATATTGTTTACCACTTGTAAAAGGAATCAGAACAAATGCCTGATGTACCTTCTATTTTTCATTATCTACTGTCAATGTAAAATCTTCTAGAAATATTAATATAAAGTGTAAAATCTTCTTAAAATGTAATGAATTTTGATGAAGAAAATGACATGCTATGGGCAGAGAATTGTTTGTTTATATTTCCTTCAGTTGGCTTGAAAATTTTAACAACCTCAATGTGTACCTCTCTTGCTAGCCGAGATCTCATTCAAACTTATTGAAACTGTTTCACTGTAGTTGGAGTCTGCACAAGTATAGAGTAGTAATTTAATTGTTCCTCCACTTGTTATAGTGTTCTGCCCTCATTCTCATTTTTTTCTATACCTTTTTCATAATGCTAGACATGTTCCATGCACATAAGAAGTTGCCTTTGCTGCCTAGTCCAGGGAACGAACAAAAGGTGTTTCCCAAGGCTGGGACTTTGGGCAATGCAAATAGTTTTGAAGATGTAAATAAAATGGATGCATATGGCAGTGGGCTAAAGAATGAAGTTGGGGAATATAATTGCTTTCTTAATGTCATCATACAGGTTTGTGTTCACTGGGACGTACCCTTTCTTTCAATCATAGGAGTGAGTTCACTTATATATTCTTACTGTATTTTCACGTGGAGCATGCTCTGAGAAATATCTTCTTGTGTTTCTTTAGTCGTTGTGGCATGTAAGAAGATTTCGAGATGAATTCCTGAGAACATCATCCGAACATGTTCATGTTGGTGATCCATGTGTGATATGTGCTTTGTACGACATATTTACTGCTTTGAGCACTGCTTCAACTGAAACATGCAGAAAGACGGTTGATCCTACTTCTTTGAGAATTTCCCTCAGCAACCTGTATCCTGATAGTAATTTTTTCCAGGAGGTAAATCCGAAACTGTATCAACTGCCCCCATATTTTTGTAGGAGTCCACCTACTTAAAATAATTGACTTAAATTATAATTAGCGTGGTATTGATTTACAGGGTCAGATGAATGATGCATCTGAAGTGCTGGGTGTTATATTTGATTCTCTACATCGGTCGTTTACATCAGCTTCAGGTATTTCTGATACTGAATCTGCAGATAGTAGCTGCATGGGCACGTGGGATTGTTCAAATGGTGCTTGTATTGTACATTCTCTTTTCGGGATGGACACATTTGAACAAATGGTTTGCTACAATTGTGGATTGGAGTCCAGACATCTGAAGTATACATCTTTCTTTCACAATGTTAATGCCAGTGCCCTCCGTACAATCAAGGCATGTTCTTCAAAACAATTCAGTGATGACACTTAATCTCTGTTCAGCATAGCAATCTTATGAGGTCCATCTATAAAGTATCTCCTGTTTAAGTTTCATGTCCTTTCCATTCAGGTTGTGTCCCCAGAAAGCTCCTTTGATGCGCTTCTGAATCTTGTTGAGATGAACCATCAGTTGTCTTGTAATTCTGAGGTTGGTGGATGTGGGAAGCTTAACTACATCCATCATATTCTCTCTACTCCACCGCATGTGTTTACAACAGGTATCGATGGTCTTCAAATTTTCCTTTCTTTTTTCTGTCGTGGGTGATTTATATCTCAAGAAAATCATCACGTGGTCCTCAGTTTCCCTTTCTATTTCTTTTCCTGCAGTTTTAGGCTGGCAAAATACTTGTGAGAGTGTAGGTGACATAACAGCAACATTATCAGCTTTTTCTACTGAGGTGGACATAGGTGTACTTTATCATGGTCTAGCTCCTAAAAACAAACATTGCTTGATTTCAATGGTAAACCTTTTCCGACTCTCTTTCATTGTTTTCTGGAAAAACAAATGTTTTATTTTACATGCTGATAGTATCCAGTATCAATTCATCACATCACTAGTATTTTCATATTCTTGGTCTCATCATTTGATTACACAATTTTTTGTGATTTTCTTGGTCCATGACAAGTTATTTTTCTATTTCTGCTAACATTTACCCAGTAAAATTTTAATTTGGAACCCATTGCATCTAATAGTCAATCATTTACGTCCTCTATCACTAGAAGTTCTTTATATTTTCTACTAACGTACAAATATCTAACAAGATTAGAGATGATAAATAAGACTTGAGCAAATAGTAGGCCTTGCCAGCATGACACTATAAGACTTTTGATATTGTTGCTAGCGGGAAACCATCTTAAGTTTGATACTGTCATTGGTGGTTTAAATTTTCTTCCTCTTCTTTTTTTATGATGGGGTCTGGATGTATGCTCCTACAAAGGTAGGGTGAAGGTCAGCGTACATTCTACCCTCCCCAGACCCCACTTTGTGGGATTACAATTGGGTATGTTGTTGTTGATGTCTAGGCTAGCTGGCATGCCCCTCGACTATTTTATTGGGTACGTACTGTCTTCCACCAACACATATATCGGGTAACTTTTCGTACCAAGACTTAGGTAGATGGAAAGAAATCACCTGGATTTTTTTTGTCTCTATTAGGTTTTAAACCTTGTTCTCCAAGGTTCGCACCCAATTCATTGACCACCAAAACCACACCCTTGGTTTGGGTGTTGGTGAAGGTTTAAGTTTGATCTTGGATTTATCAAAAAAGTGGCTTAGTTTATTGCTTGATATTTATTCAGGTTTGCTATTATGGGCAGCATTATCACTGTTTTGCCTACAATTGTGATCATGGGCAGTGGGTTATGTATGACGACAAAACTGTGAAGGTAAAAGTTATTTCTCATTCTTCAGTTTGTCTTGTTATTATTTTAAGTTTTTTTGTAAATTACGGATATTTGATATTTCAGGTAATTGGTGGCTGGGATGATGTTCTTGTTATGTGTGAAAGAGGGCATTTGCAACCACAAGTCCTTTTCTTTGAAGCTGTAAAGTAGTTTGACTTGGAAAAGATGGTAACTCTTTTTTATATCTGAAGCTTCAAATGAAGTTTAGCTTATAAAACATGCTTGTCTTATACTGCACCAAATATGTGATCAGCATGTATTTTCATTCATGCAGCAAACACATTGATCTGACCTGCATGTTCTGTATTGATGGAGCAAAAAAGGTCGCAAATTCATACTCTGGAAAATATAGGTGTACAAACCCTAGTTGTAGTATACAAACAAGTTGTCTTGATGAAGAGAGAAAAGGAGTCAGTTGTGTGCAGACAGTTTTCATAGATCTGTCTCATGATTGGAGGACGTCATATTATAGAAAAACAAGTATAGTTCTGATGCCTTGATATACCTGGATATACTGTTGGCAGAAACAAGTTTTTGCATCTGCCAATTCTCTAAAAAATTTGGATCCTTACAATGAGGTGGCATGGTTGAGTATAGTGAAACTTTTGACTTTCCAATGGAAGCAATGTACCTTGTACGTGATATTGCTTCTGTACAATGGAAATGCTAGGATATTTGCATCTTGTATCCATTTTCAGTGTAAGGAAGTTGTATGAATTGTCGTAGTAGTGGTACAGTCTATAGTAAGTCAAATACCTCCCTTTGTGGGAAGTAAATTGAGTTCTGTAGAATTGATGGGGATTTTGTGCATGAGACGATTACAATGAAATGAAAGAAAAATTGCTATTGGTTTGTCAAGGAGGAAAACAACTTGTTGAATGCTGATTAAGTACTTGGAGTCCTAGGTTCCCCCCAACACACACACACACACTCTTTCTGTATCTTCTGCACTTACACCTTTGAGTTTGTGGCGTACAGTCGCCATCGGCTCTTGCTTATTTCCTCACAATTGAGATTTGTTTCCTCAACTGTCTCCAACTCCACCTTCTATCAGTGGAGGTGCTAAGTGTGTTGAAAGGGGGTTCAATTGAATCTCCTTTGTCGGAAATTACACCGTACAAATAAGGATAAACAAAATCAATTTTGTATCTATGTGAAGTGTTGAATTGCCTTCTTGATAGCTAAATGTATTCACTCACTATGCAGGTTTGCGTTTTTTTTTTTTTTAAAACAGGTTTCCTATTTCTCTATTTGACATGCGTAACTCCTTGTATTATACTGTATGCTCAAAATAGTAGATCCGTTTGTTCGTTGTGTATTATCTTAAAATTTTTGGAAGATGATTTTTTTAATTAATTTTGAAGACACAAGTTTATTGCAATAACATCTTTTCTCGACATATTTAAGTAAATATTCCACTCCTTCCATTAGTTAATTTTACTATTTCTAGTTGCTTGCGTTTATGGCCTCCATCGTTAGTCTTTCTTTTCTTTTGCTATGATGTGATTATGGAAGTTATTTTATTCTTTTCCCCGTTTTTAAAAAGATTGATCAATTAATATTCCTCATATTTTGAAGGATTAAGTTCTAAGACAAAAGAGAAATACCTCCAAAAAGTTCTATCAGATAGAAGGCTTATAATTTCCAATGCTTAAATGCCTATAAACGTTCTTTGTCAAAATCTGAATTTGGAAAGTCCTCTATAGGAGAAAAATGTATAAACATATATTACAGCTTTTTTTTAGTACCCAAAATTTCTGATACGACTCTTATTGGAGTTCTCATTGTACGCTTTGAGTGTATATTTTTGGAATACGAAATACTTTATATTTTTGCGTACAAATGTAATTTTACATGCATGATCAACATCTAACTGTCTTTTTTTTTAATTTTATTTTTTATATATATATATATATATATATATTTAAAAAATTGTCAATAATATTAAATCTCAAAAGAGTGATTTGGAGGACAATGTATTTAACAAAATAATAGTGCTATTATTTGAGAGTACTTGTGTAGTTTGTACTTTGTGGACAACCAGAAGTAGAAGTGTTTGTGACAGTTATAGAGGGGGGATTCAAAATTTTAATCTTGTGGTTCTGATTATCGGGTGATTCAATTGAATATTTGTGCTTAACAAATCAATTTATTAATTTATTTTTAATTATACTAATCGCTGATCAAATTAATAAGATATTTTGAGCTAATTGTTTATGCTTTAACTTTTTTGGGGTATTTTTAAATGGCAACTACATGACTTTACTTCATCGCAATTCGCAATAATAGTTCAATGGTAGATTAATAGACTTTGCTTTAAACCCTAAAATTTTGAAGCTTCAAAAATTTTAATGATAAATTTATTATTTTATTTTTACTTGGTCAATATTTAAGTTTGTATAAGTAAAAAGGTACAAATTCTATATAGAAAAATAGAAAGAGAAAGAATGAAAGAATCACACAACAACAAAAATATTTCAGAATTTTGAGTTACATTACTTAAATCTTCATAAGTAAATAAAGTTTTTTTACACTAATATCTAAGATAATGTGTAGTAATCATATTACTATAACATGTTATCATCTTGAAGGAAGTCTTTCAATATAAGTGATATTATTATTATTATTATTATGTGAAGTTAAGTACACTATAAACTATTATGAAAAAAAAGGAGTTCAAATATTTAATGTATATATTTTTTTTAATTAACTTTAGTATTTTTTATTTTAAAAAAAAAAATACATACCAGAAGTTTAATTTTATCTCAAGAAACTTCAAGTTGTTCATGCACAACTAGTATTTTATAAATGACATATTAATGTACAATAACAAAATATTTCATCCTTAACTTTTAATAAATCTATTTTTAGATATAAATTTTTTCTTATTTATCCCAACAAAAAGTAATTAACTATATTCCATAATGTGTCATACACAAAAATGTTATTGTCAATGTTACATTAAAAAATTTTGTGCAAATTGTAGAGAAGCATATAATTTCAAGGTATATTTATTATTTTCGAATTGTTTATTTAAATGATTATGCATGCCAATAAATATTGATACATTGGATCAATCAATTTTCATATATTTTACAATTATTTCATGTGTTATTGTTTTTATATTTATTTGAGTGGCTAAATTCTTCTATCCATTCTGAAAATAACTAAGTTAAATTCTTACAATAAATTATGTGCATGTAATCCTCTCCAATTTTGGTGTATAATTAATTTTTATGACATTATAATTATTCATCTTTAAATTTAAGGGTATAATTTTATTTAAATAACCTCTTATCCTTTGTTAAACTTATTAGTAATATTTTTTACAAAATTTTAACACAATAAATTAATAAAAGTTCAAAATACTTAATTTTTGTTATCGGTCAAAACTTAAAAATACATTGTAAATTAAAACAAAAAAGATAATATTTCAAAAGTAAAAAAAACTACTTGATTACCAACACATTGTAGTCTGTTTTCAACAAAGCAATTAAAAACTACACACAAAAGTAAAGTACAAGGTTTGACAGAAAGAAAGTTGTTTGGTTTCTGAAGAAAGGATAATTTTAATTTTCTATTTTTTATTCTTAAAAGTTTCTCTCTTGAACATATGATTTTTGTGGAATAATAAAATCGTTTTTCAATCATAAGATTTTGGGTAATTTGTATTTTTTATTTTGATTATATACTAATCTAACAATTAATTTTAGTTTAGCTATAATTAAGGGTTATTTAGTTTGAATAAACTTTGACCTTGGATTTAAAAGTGGGCATATTTCATGAAATTAGTTGTGAACTCAATTATAATTTACGTTATTATTTAGACACCCAATATAAATAAGTATTTATCGAACTTGATTATATTATTTACACTTTTCCTTTTTATATTCATGTCAAAGCTTATTTCTTTCATTTCAAGATTCAAGACATTGTAAACTTATTTGGAAACTCTTTAATAACTGACGTGGTATATATTTTTTCTAGTACTTTGGAAACTGTGTAATTAATATAATTTTGTTGTATTTAAATATTAGTAACTAACTCAAACCCGATTTTGTTGATCAAGAATATGTTTGGTAAAGTTTTTAAAAGGTCAAAAATGTTTTTTTCTTTCTTTCAAAAAATGCTTATTTAAAAATAACAAAGGATCAAAACGAAGTAAAATATATATGAAAGAATATAGTTGTTTCTATTCAGAAAAATTCTTTCAATAGGCATTATTATTAGTATTTTTTTTTGTATTTAGTTTTCAAATTGAAGAATTGGGATTGTATTTTATTTTTTAATAACTTATGTCATGTATCTTTTCTTTCAAATTGTATATTAGGTGAAGATTTTTACTGATCCTCGAATAATAACTCAAGTAATTCGAAGAATTGTAGAAGATCTTTTTAATTTTTCTTTCAAAATGTGAAGCTTGTGCTTCAACATTGACCAATGAAAAATGCTTGTAATCAAAAGAAAGTGATTACCTTTCTTTTAGAGTATCTTTTTCTTTTTTTTGGACTCCTCATTTTTGGAATATACATTACACAACCTTTTATAATTAATGTCAAAGCTAAAAAGTATAGTTTTTTTAGCATTATTATTTTCCCAACTTTATGCCTAGAATCTTATGTCCAAAATGTATAGTAGTCAATTTAGCCTATAAATAAGTAATTTTGTATTTTCTCAATTCGTTTTCTCCGCGGTGATAAAAGCTAGAAAAAATAAGATCAAGAGTATAGTTATAACCACAAGTGTGTCACATAATGAGGAGAAAAAGTCCTATTTTTTTGGTGAGTGAAAAAGTACTAGGCTCTGCTGTTAGTAAAAAAAACAAAACAAAAACCAATCTCCAACATTTCCGTTTTTCACTCTCTTTAACCTCTTACTTTTTACTAAGTCCTTAACCAGCTTTGAGTAAAATCCGCTATTAAATAGACAAGTTCCAACTTCAAATACTCTGCCATTTGTCTTCTTTCTGTCTTCCCTTTCTCAATACTTGTTCACATTAATTAACACACACACTCCCTTTCATTCCCATCTATTCCTCAATTCTTCAAAATCTCATTTTTTTATGTCATTTTTGAAACTTTATCCAAGTGTTTGATGCTTTGCACAGCAAAACATGACTCTCAAGGGTGGCACCAGCCAGGCGTGCGCTGCGTGCAAGTACCAGAGGAGGCGGTGTCACGACTGCCCCTTAGCACCCTATTTCCCTGCTGATCAACCCAAAATGTTTCAGAATGCGCATAGGTTATTCGGGGTCAGCAACATTTTAAAAATACTAAAACAGCTTGATCCCTCTCAAAAAAAAGTTGCTATGAAATCTATTATTTACCAAGCAAATGCCCGTGACAAGCATCCTGTATATGGATGTGTCGCGGAGATACAAAATTTATTATTTAACATTCAACTCTACGAAGAGGAACTTCAAGCTGTTAATGCACAACTATCATTTTACAGACAACAACAGCAACAACAAGAAATCTCAACAAGCCTCAGTGATTCTGTTTCCCAAATACAATTGGGAATGCCTCCTCCAGTTTCTGCACCTACACCCGCTAATGGAAATGGGTTAACACTATTTCATCACCAAGATGTGCCTAATTCCCAATATAATGTTGCTGCCAATGCTGCGTTGCCTGTTCAATCTTGTCCCTCCTACTCAAATAACAACTTTGCTGCTTACAACAATACTACCTTTGTGGACCCTAAAGAAAATAATACAGTCAATTCATTATGGATTCAACAATCATATGGTACTAATGTTTGTAATAACAACATTATGCAATCTCAGTTACCAGCTTCCCAAACAATTCTTGTCCCACAAGAAGTCAATCAAGACTATGATGAGATACACCCATTGTTTGATCCTATTGATGACAGACAGTCTTATATCGAGACTAAAGACCCATATGAATCGAGGTATGCTCATTTTCTTCGAATTGTTTCTTTTATAGTTATGACCAAATGATCATATACTTGAGTTAAGAGATTTTTCATGCAGAGGCTGAAACTCGGAGTATTATTTAGGCAATAAACTGTGAATATTACCATATCAAGTAAAAGTACTACAAAATTAGGGAGCATCTAAACTCTTAATCACCTTCGCAGAAGAGTGTTAAAGAATATCTAGAGAAAGGAAATTACTACTTACAATCTATCCCATGGACATACCCATATCAATCCTTGACAGTTTCTTCCCTTTCTATACCTTGTACTCATTCTATTCTAACCTGTAACTCCTTCTGTATTTGTGTGATGATGAAATTTGTATTTATATGTTTCTGTCTAAACTGCTTCAAGTTCCTTGCTTGCCCGGCATAGTATATTGTTGCTCCATACATAGAAGCTACTAATTCATTTTTCAATTGTTTCCAATGTCTTCTTTTTATCCAAGCCAAAATTTGTTAAGTTGCGCCTCTTGGCAATACCACACCAATCCAGTCCTCACTGTAATCCGCTAATGACATTCAGTAAACAAATGTTGGTGCGTTTCAGCACAATCTTCCTCACACAAGCAATATGCTTCATTCTCTACTTGTATATGCATATTCTGTAATCTATCTTTAGTGAGCAGTTTTGCTTGGTATGCCAGTCATAAAATAAATCTCTGTCTAGGCTGCATAATAGAGCTCCAAAGCAAGTCTGCCGCTGGACATTTGTGTAACAGACCTAGCATGGCTAGGTAGCTACTGGTCATAGAGTATGTTCCATTTGGTGTCAATGCATATTTTCCCCTTTGGTACCATTGGAGCATCTCTGTCTTCAAAGCATTCAGCATTTTCCAATACTAACTTCAATCTTGGGGTGGTGTGTACTCTCAATGTTATCGGTATCCCCCAATGACATTCAGTAAAAAAATATTGGTGTGTTTGAGCACAATCTTCCTCACACAAGCAACATGCTGCATTCTCTACTTGTATTTGCATATTCTGTAATCTATCTTTAGTGAGCAGTCTTCCTTGGTAGGTTAGCCATCAGGGGCCGACTCAATAAGATTGGGGGCCTCAAGCGAAACTTAAGAGAGGGCATATATACTTTTATTTAAAATCTACCTTTCTAGATTTTTTAGATGCGATCATTAGTTACTATCTTATAATTGATTGGTTTTAATAATCCCTTTTCAATTGATAATATAGCTAATCCATTCAATCTCTCTTGAGACATTGTTGATCTTATATAAGATTTAATCAATTTTAGTTTCGAAAAACTTCTTTCTGCTAAGGCAACAGTTACAAGGACTGTTAACATTATTCTATAAGCAATATTTGTATTGGAAAAGAATCAAATCTTTTTATTTGATTGAGTATTTTCATTAGATCATTATTCTCTACTTGTATTATTTCTCTTAATACTTTTAATTCAATAAATAAATTTAAACCATCAATATCAAAATAACTATTATGTGTTAAAGAATGTTTAAGGTTAAGACAATGTTTTTTTAAATTCTCATCATCTAGTAATCTCAATTTACCACTAAATAAGAAACCAAAAATATTTTCATATACTTTAATTGGTTCAATTCTAATCTGAAGTGAAAAAATAGCTTTATATATATATATAAAGTAATCAACTCTAATTTCAAGGGACTTTGTGATCAATATTTCCATCAAAGTGTTTCTTACGAAATTCAGGTTCTATATTCATCTCATAAGGAATTTCCTTAGTAAAAATCATAGTACTCACAGTACATATAATTTATTTTTTTAAAAATAACATTTATAAGTAAATGAAAATATTTAAAAATGGGAGCTCCAAGTGATGGTTTTAGTGGCCTAGGGGTTGAGACGGCCCTGGGAAGCCATAACATAAATCTCTGTCGCATAATAGAGCTCCAAAGCAAGTCTGCCTCTGGACATCTGTGTAACAGACCTAGCATGGCTTGGTAGCTACTGTCATAGAGTATGTTTCATTTAGTGTCAAAGCATATGGTCCCCTTTGGTACCATTGGAGCATCTCTATCTTCAAAGCATTCAGTTTCTTCCAATACCAACTACAATCTTGGGATGGTGTGTGCTCCCAAATGTTATTGATATCCCCCAATGACATTCAGTAAACAAATGTTGGTGCGTTTCATCACAATCTTCCTCACACAAGCAACATGCTTCATTCTCTACTTGTATATGCATATTTTGTAATCTATCTTTAGTGAACAGTCTTCCTTGGTATGCCAGCCATAAGAAAAATCTCTGTCTAGTTATTATTATTGTTGTTGTTTTTGTGTTTCTAAAATGAAATTTTGTCTCATGCAGTTCAGAGTCATCACTGAAAGACACAAGACAGTCTATGGAGTATGTTGCTGAGAATGAGTTAAAGAATGCTGCAGCATGTTTCACTCTTACGAGCATCAACGGATAGAATACAAAGAAATATAAGAAGAATGATAACAAAGTGGCTTTTTCTTTTGCCATTCAAATATAACTATTGAGAATGTACTGCCAGTTTTAGAATACATTTCAAATGACATGTTATATTTGGATTTTGGAAAGTTGGACACTAGCTTGTTTTTCTAGTCTTGGTACACTAGAAAAGACTAAAAAAAATAATTCATAAGCGACGTGGCAAAAATCTGCCAGGAGAAGAAACTTCATGTCCTTGATCACATCTTGAAGATTAGTAAATGTTCTTCATGTTTGTGTCCTTCGTTTGCTAGAAAGTCGGCACATTAGTTTGTCTCTCTCCAAATATATATTAAAGATGACCTTGTTAGCTTCCAACAAATGTATGTAATCTTCAATAATAGTCCTCGGGAGTGCTATAGTATGTCCTTCTCATTGATAAGTTGGGCGGCTATAGGCAATTTGTTTCCGCTTCTAGTTCTTTGTATCACATTTCGTTTACTGATTGTAACCTTTTTTGATGCAACGAGACGTGATTACTTCACCTTACCTGAGTATCTCAACATCCACTTTTCTTGATCATTTTTAAAAATATCTCCAAGAAGCAGCATCTCCAATTTGCATCTTGACACTAGCTTGTTGCCTTCATATAAGATGATTTGCTTCATTTGCTACAATCTGTACCAATCCTTCTATATGTAGACCTCATTATATGTCCTACAACCTAAATACAGACAGTTGCAGTCTTGAAGAGTGGAAAACCACTACTTCTTGTCCCGAATGTAATGTTAACCTTTTTCTTTTTTGGATCATATTTGTTATTTGTTTAACACAATCCTACAAATTTAGGCTAGACATGTAGAGGGAATCAATCCTTTCCTTATGAAGTCACTTTTTCAAAAATATTATGAAGGGCTGCCTATCTGAGCTTTAAAGAAGCTGCTTTAAGGTCTACATAAGTGTGAGTTTGGGCTGTCCTTATATAATGAACATACATAGAAGTTTTAATTGGGCTTGGAAAAATTGAAGACATTTGTCATAGAGAACACAAGTACTAGCATGCCCTAGAAGGATTAAAACAGATATACTGCAGGCTGTAGCATTTGCTAATCTATGATCGGAATGAGAAACATAAAGGATTTCATTTCTTTATGTGATCGGAATGAGAAACATAAAGGATTTCATTTCTTTATGTGATCTTTGGTGTTCCAATGACAATGGTTTTTAAGAGAGGCAGAAATTAAATGGAAGCAGTGGTATATTTGACCCAACCATGTATTCATCAAGAAATTGGAAAATATAGAACGAATCATGTCACAAGTATATTTTGGGAAAATGAACAAGAAACAAATATATTTCTTGTATTATTTCCTTCGACTGACTTGGTCAAAATTGTTCTTATCAGAAGTTAGCACCATCATCTTGGAGTAAATGCGGAATTTAAAATAGTCCTCACTGGAAATTACTTTAACATGTATCAGAATCCCAGATTCTTTTGATTTTAACAGGAGGAATTGTTAATATATGTGATACACACATAAGTTTGTGAAGGAAAAAAAGTGTTCTCTACATTGTGGGAACATAGAATCAGCTGTTAATACTCCTCGTGGATTTTGATCATACAAGTCTTGTGTTGTACGAGCCACAATTGGAGCACTTGTGATAGAGCCAGTGGAAGGAAGCTGTTCCTCTCTTTTCACAGTCATTGCATAGTATAGCCTGTTAGGACCGTTTTAATGTCAATAAATTGGTCTAACCCAACCAGAACATATTCATTCATAAGAATCAGTAAGTAGAAAAGCAAACCTGAGTCTGGCCAGCATACTCCTCAGGAATTTTCTGTTCAGACAGCAATGCATCTAACATCTCAAAGTACACCTGAAATTAAGCACCAAGTAAGCTACTCATACGCTACAATTTAAGACTCACAGTTTTAGGAAAAGGGGTACAAGACACTTTTATGCTAAATAGTTTTCTGACCTGCATGTCTCCAAGTGACTTGCTACATATTGGACATGTATAATGACTACAAGTGTATTCCTGGAAGGAGTAGTAAGAAAAAAAGAGAGAGGAATAAGCAAAACAACCTGCAAGTTCACTTTAAGTTTAGTTGATAAAGAAACAAAGTAAGTATGAGCTTAATACCTGAAAACATTTGGAGTGCATCAGATGGCCACAAGGAAGTGCTTTGACAGGATTGGTCGAAGTGAAAATGTACTCGTGGCAGATTGGACAGTTTTCCTCCAAACACTTCTCTCTGCATACGTGAACAGAAAGAGACTTTGACATGCAAGCATTGCAATTCATGCAATGGAAGTAACCAACCCCTAATCCTTTTCCCAACCGACACAGATTGCAGAAAGGGCAGTGGTAGATTTGCCTGTTCAAAATCTCGTGTCAGAACAAGAAATTGTAGTACAGCATATATAGCTATTTATTTAAGATATAAGATAAGGACAGATGATAATGCAACTCTATCAAGTAGTACTTATTTGTTGTTCTACATATACATGCCTGTTGATTTTGACCTTTAAATAATTCTTCTTACTTTAAAGCTAAGTAGCTAAACCTGTCACTTTAACTCATTGATTACCCATTTATGCATTATTTTAAGGCAATATATGGTACCCACCCAGACCAATGAGAAAATGTGAACCTGATTTTCTCACCTTTCATCATCAAACAATTTGCAAATTTTGCAATAGTATCTACCCATGGAGAAGCCATCGCAAGAGGGAGTTGAGCAACTTGGACCGATCGGTTGTATTTTCAAGCACTTCATACACATCATCTGAGTGATAGTTTTTCTGCAAGCATGTCATAACCAGAATTGGGATATCTCAAAAACAGAAAACTAAAGAAAGTTCTGAATTTACAACATGGAACTCACCTGTCCAGAGTATGATCAGTAGTTTCATCATGACACCGTATGCATGGAAAAAGCTTCTTGCAGCATGGAGCAAGAAGCTTGCAGTTCCTCTTGTAATGACTGCAACCAAAAATGGATTCCTGTTCATCAAGATAAGAGGGACACTGACCGGGGAATTTCTCCATATCGTTTGCAGCAGCAACCTCAGAATTAGATAGCTTTTGAGTCAAAATCCATTGACTGGCAGAAAGAAATTAGCTCTAGTCAGGTCCCATAAAATTACACAAGAATGATTTTAGAAATTGTTGATATCAACACATATCATTGTTTTTGCATTTAAATATCCATTCGCTAAGTTCCTATATGATTGGCTGGTAGGAGGGATTGATCATTGCATAAAGTGTAGCATTAGTCTATACATTGTTTTGTTGGATGGTAGGACTAATTAATCAGTAAATAAAATTCAAATTATTCTATTACAAGATGGAAAAATTTTTTGCTGAAGTAGTAGAAAAAACACAAACCGAAAAATAGACAATCTGGAAATCAGGTGTTGGATTATTTCAGTTGTTTCACCAAAATACGCAATGAAAACCATGATCTAATGATTGTTTAGGTATTATGCAAAAGTAGATCTTACTTATGTAGTTGATCTGAGAAATTAATCAATATCCCTTCCTGCTATTGAAGGAGCAAAACAAAGGATGGAAGTTGAAATATACTTGCCTCATCAGCAAGCTCTGCATGAGGTGTGATTTCATTTCAGAATCCAAAGATGAGTCACAGGATATTTTCCTAATTACAGAAACCAGTTCCTCTTGAGTCAATAGATGATGCTCCTGTATCCTTGATTTATCACATGATTCTATATCCTGGCAAGTTGTCTCTTTCTGAGCAATACTATCGACTGTCTCAGTGCATTTGTTGTTGTCAACCACAGTAGAATATCGTGACGTATCTTCAGATAGATCAATATTTTGTTTTCCCTTGGCACTATGTGCTTTATCTTCAGTAAAAGATTCGTGCTGATAAAAATCACGATTAACAAACTCTGATCCTTTCTCATTCCAGATTCCTTGTTTAACACCATTTCTTGATAAATATGTAGAGACAGCTTCTAGAGGATCAATAGACAATAAAGGAGTAATCTTTGGTTCCATTTCTGCATTTACACTCTCTTCTCTCTTTACAGGTTCCCACCATTCTCCTAGCCACTCAAAAAACTTTGTATGTTTTGTAACTTTGCGCCACAACATCATCATGCCGTGCTGTTCATCTGGTGTTAGAGATGCCATCAACCACGGAATCATTTCTTGTAGAATCTCTGTTTTTGTTCTTCCAAGCATGTTTCCGACAATCTTTTCTTGTTCCTCAACAGAAAAATGTTCTCTGAATAGTGGCCAGAGTTCAATTTCTTCATGGTTGATGTGGTCGGTTAATGTTCTTTGCATAGATATGCATGCATTATGGAGCTTTAAGCAAAGCCTTTTGTACTTGAGCTTCTTACTATCAACTACTTCATCACCTTGCAAACTGATGAGTTTATTTAAGATAATAGAAATCTTGTTGAAATTCTCTACCTCCAAATTATGGTCAAGGGTGTAGGAATGGCTAACATTTTGGAGTGTTACCCTTGATTCCAAAGCAGGAAAAGCAACTTCATCCTCAGAATTACTATGAATCCTCAATAGGAAGTGTAGATGATGGAAGCGTCTGTGAAATTCAGCGAGAACTCCAACATCTTCAGCCAGCTTAACTGACAGGGATACGACATCCTGTATATCGTTTATCAGGGCTTTGTGAAAGAAATGGACAAAGTCTATTGGTATAAACTCACGAATCGGAACTTTTAAATCATTGCTTGATCTGGAAGAAGTTCCAGGAAAGAAAGATAAACTTTTCTGTGAGTCTGAGGAAAATATTTGTGTATTGATCCCATACGAATAAGATGTATCAAGCTTCTCGATGATGCCAAGGGGAGAAGGGCGATAACATACAGTATTGTTTGATGTCACGGCTGAAGCTGATTGCAATAACAGATTATTAGATTTATCAAATGATTGCATATCTGATTGTGAAAAAGAGATTCCAGAATTATTAAATGACTTCTCCAGCAAGGAGCTTCTGCTACTGAACATTTCTTCCAAATCTTTTCTAAACTTTTCAAGTGAAATCTTGCCAGAATAGCCCGTACGAACCCATTCATACAAGAGAGAAGAGAAGGACCTGTTAACTACGGGAGATCCCAGCATTACATTATTTAGGATCAGT